GTTTTTTTTACAGTCAAGATACAATCATAAAATACATGACTGATGGTATGCTTCTACGTGAATGCCTAGTTGACCCTGATCTCATGTCATACTCTCTCATAATGTTGGACGAGGCTCACGAAAGGACTATCAATACCGACGTCCTCTTTTGGTTTGTTGAAGGCAGCTGCAAAAAAACGACCTGATCTCAAACTTATTATAACAAGGTGAGATAATACCTTTACACTAGGATATTCCCATAGAAAGTAAAATTCATTTCGTTTGTTTTTCTTCAGTGCGACTCTTGATGCAGTTAAGTTTTCGGAATATTTCTTGGAAGCTCCTATTTTCACAATCCCTGGTCGAACTTTCCCCGTCGAAATACTGTATACGAGAGAGCCGGAAACTGATTATTTGGATGCTGCACACATAACAGTTATGCAAATCCATTTAACGGAACCTCCCGGAGACATTCTTGTCTTCCTCACAGGACAGGTGATCTTCAACTATTTTTGTGCAGAAACCGATGTTGTTTATAGTTTCGAAAAATCTCGTTGATTCAGGAAGAAATTAACACCTCTCTGTGAGGTACTGTATGAACGAATGAAAGCACTTGGACCTGATGTTCCTGAATTGCTTATTCTACCTGTATATGGAGCGTTGCCATCTGAAATGCAAACCCGTATATTCGATCCAGCTCCTCCAGGGAAGCGAAAGGTGAGGAAGTGAAAGCTGCAATTGATGTTGATATCATTTTGAAGAACTTTTCCAGCTCTATCCAATGCTCAGCACAACTTTGTCCTAAAATATTTTCTTATAGCTTTTTCAAAGCTTTGAATGCGGTATACTCGATGAGCAAGTTGGCATGACTTTCTTTTTCTAGCTTTAAATAGACCTGAAAGTGGCGGGAACAGTTCAAGATATTAACGATGCTTTGGGCCTAGATTTGCAATAAATGTGCTCAGAAGCAGTAGTTAAAAAATTTATTGTAACGAAGGCGAGAGCCTTGAATATGATGAGAGTAGTGGTCGGATATCGGACGGTGTCTCCGATTAGCCAGAAGTTCGAAGGTTTGCTGAATAGATCGACGGCGATGAAGCTCTACAAACTTTGCAGAATTTAAACTGTGCTGGAGGAGGGTTGTGGCAGCTTTCATGGGGCCAGCGGCTGGCCATGTTCTTCAGTATCAGATGGAACTGTTACAGTGGAGAATCAATCTTTATACTAAGTTCAAAAATCATCAAAAACTCTAAGGCATGGGTCCAGCATTCCTCATTATAAAGGAACGCACACATCCCTGAAAGGTGTCTTGAACGCACATCGCACGGCCAACCCTTCACAAGTTGTACCAGCTGAACTTCAGAGTGGTTCTGCGAATAGACCTTTGATCTATCTACTGTCAAATTTCTGACGATCTCGATAGCTTCCTTGAAGAGAAATACATCAAAACCCAACATGATGCTAAAACGACCTTCCCTCAGTTCATCGCCTCCAGAGGTCCAGCATTCCAAACAAACGTACCCAGTTGAACGGCTTCTTATAGAAAAAGATTCGCGCTTTCGAATGGTTTTTTAATCAACTCGAAAGGTTCAGTCTAAGCCGAGATACGTGCATTTAAAATTAGGGGTTGGAAAACGACAGAACTTTCTGAAACGCCTAATAGTTTATTGAATCGAAACATCATCAGCTAATCTCGTTGTACCAGACGAAAAGCGGCTATCACGAGAAATTGAGTTTTTTTTTAAGGTGGGGGGGGGGGTGCGTACATATCGGAAAGAGTAGAGACCATTCTGAAGAGACGATAACAGGTGTTTTCTTGGTGGTAAGGTCGTCTACATCGGGTAATGAGACACCGAAGAAGCTTTGTAAGGCTTATCGGAGCCCAATCCCACCCATTCTGGAGGCGTGAAGATGACTTGTTCAAATTTTTCGTATCATATCTTGTATCTTCTTCGCTTCAAAGGTAGCATGCTGATATTATGCCCAAACCACCTCCATAATTTTCCGTTGAATGTTCAAACTTGAAAGAACAGCTCACTTAGGAGGTCTCATTCTAAGGTTTTCTTAGCTTTCTTTTCCTCGGTTTTCTATCACGACCATCGCACTTTTCAAGGTCCTATTTGGGGAGAACAAAGTACAAAGTTTGCGAAGCTCCCACTGCTCCGCTGTGCTAAATTTCTAGAACTGCGGGTTTCAGAGATTTTTTTCTTTCTAGATTTCTGAGCGACCCAATCATGCGATTGAAAATTCTCGATATTGTTCTTGAGATTGAATGGAAAGATGGTGTGGAAAAAAGTATGTTTGAATTCAGGTTGTCATTGCGACGAATATCGCGGAAACCTCGTTAACCATTGATGGGATATACTTCGTAGTCGATCCTGGCTTTGTGAAGCAGAAAATCTACAATCCAAAGAGCGGGATGGATTCTTTGGTTCGTTTGTCTTATACCTACCCTTGTTACTGTTTTGCAGAATCGTAGATTGCTAACTACGTTTTAGGTGGTTACTCCGATTAGTCAGGCTGCTGCCAAGCAGCGTGCTGGACGTGCAGGACGAACAGGGCCTGGCAAGTGCTATCGACTTTACACGGAGCGCGCCTATCGGTTTGTTTTTCTAGTCCTTTAAACAAGGTGTATGAAAGTAAAAGACATAGTCATTTATTTTTAGGGATGAAATGCTGCCAACGCCCGTACCAGAGATTCAGCGTACCAATCTTGCTTCAACGTTGCTGTCCTTGAAGGCCATGGGTATCAACAATCTCATCGATTTCGATTTCATGGATGCTCCTCCATTGGATTCGATGATAACGGCCCTTCATCAACTGCATACTTTATCGGCACTGGATGGTGATGGCTTATTGACAAAACTTGGTCGCCGAGTAAGCATGATTTTCTTAATAACTGTCGAGCTCTGGAATTAATATGTACAAACTGCGTGCAAACAATGGAAACCTTTGTTCAATGTTCTTTTTCTCATTCTCCATAGCTTTAATCACGCGCAGTCGCAGAATTCGCAGTTTCTGTTGAACGTCACCACATTTTAATGTCCAAGATATCTTCTCTTGTAACTCTAAAATCAATGAGTACTTTTTCGTGACGTCCCTCTTCATTTTCTTCGAGGCTCCTTGTGGTCTCGCCTTTGGCTTTGAAGGTGCAGCCTCCATCACCGTCTTCTCCTCTCAGTCGTTACCTTGCCTTCGGGGAGCTCCGTGGCAAGTTTTTGCAGGAGGGACTTTGTCGGAGAGTACCTTGATGCCCTAAGCATATTGAAGAGAGGTTACTCTTGCGAACCTATGGTAGGTTTTCATATGGTCATAAGGGGAATGAAAAACCATCCTCAGAAAACTTGGTATTATGATTTCATCCTGACACGTTATACTCAATGTGGATATGTCTCTGGCTATACAAAACACTATCACCTGATCTGATAAAGTCGAATATATGAAATTCTCTTTTTAGATGGCAGAGTTCCCATTGGAGCCTTCTTTGGCAAAGCTGCTCATTATGTCTGTGGAGTTAGGATGCTCTGACGAAGTACTAACTATTGTGTCAATGCTCTCTGTGCAGAATGTCTTTTACCGGCCGAAGGTGACTCAAATTTATCTGTTCTACCTTTCAAGATTTGGATGACCACGAATTGCCACGTACGTAATAACTTCGTATAGCATACATTATACGAAGTTATACGATTGAGTACTACTCTCCGGTTGCCTGCCGTGGGTTTTAATAAAGTACCTCTTTTCTTGGGAGAGGGGGGCTGATCCTCCAGCGAACAAAATTGTGTCAAACAGAACTTTGACAGGCTGTTATTAGGGAACAAACACCAGTAAACAAGCTGATCAGAAGAAGGCAAAGTTCCATCAGCCCGAGGGCGACCATATGACGCTCCTTGCCGTGTACAACTCGTGGAAGCACCACCACTTCAGTCAGCCGTGGTGCTTTGAGAACTATGTCCAAATAAGAACACTCTCAAGCGTGCGCAGGATATTCGGAAACAGCTTCTTGGTATCATGGATCGCCACAAACTCGATCTAGTCAGTTGTGGTCGCGACGTTCAGCGAATACAGAAGGCAATTTGCTCTGGCTTCTTCAAAAATGCGGCGAAACGAGATCCTCAGGTACGTTGGCCACTGCGCGCTGATCTTTATTCTTTAACGGTTTCTCATATTCCAGCTCCGAAACAGACGCACTTTTTCATATACCATGCTTCTTTTTTTCAGGAAGGTTATCGTACTCTTGTGGATGGACAGAACGTTTTCATACATCCTTCGTCTGCATTGTTCCAGAATCAACCAGAATGGGTTGTTTACCATGAGCTTGTTATGACGACCAAGGAATACATGCGAGAGGTAAGGCGGCTTCGTTACCCAGTCGGCATAACTTGTATTGAATTACAATTGAAAGGATGAGAGATTTTAGCTGATGTACAAATTTTCCATAATATTCTGAAAGCTAATTGTGGTTCGATGTTGTATGCTCTCATTTGTCCTTTTATTTCGGTCAGATGTCTAAAGCAAAAGAATATTCCTTGACCTACTTACAAACAAGAAATAAGTGGCTCGGTAAAGGGGACTGATAGAGAGGATTGCAATGCTTTATGGCGACACAATTTTTGTACGCGATTTGGATGAATGTCGGGTATATTGATTGGCTTGAGTGTTTACCGCATCGATGCCACGTAGCTAGAGTTGATATTTGCCGCCCGGTTTCGGATGTTATAATCAATATGCCTGCAGTCACGATGTCTCGACGAAAGTTGTCAGACTTCAAAATATCTAAGCTGGCGGAAGAGAACAGAAAAAATCTCGACCCTTTTCGACTCGATTGCTATGCGGATGCAATACGCTATAGAGTTAGTACTCCTTATCCTTACTTTCTAGCATGAGAAGATTTTAGCTCGACAAAGCCGAAAAGATAATATGTTTTCGACTTTTCCTTATGTACTCGCGTTACTTCTAGGTAGCGCATTTTGTCTTTGCTCACGCTTGTGAGATGAGGGTTAAAAAATAACGACGTACTCTTAGCTGTACTCTCACTACGCGCTGATATTATCTTCACGTTGCATTAAAGCAGTTCTATTAGGTACAGCTGTAATTAACTCCGCAAGGCATTTCATATAAAGATGACACACAAATTGGCTATTTTGTGGTAATGTACTAGCTGGAAGCCTTGGGCCGAATGGATATACGCTGGAAAATTCAGTGGTCCATAGGGATTTGTACAAAGGCACCCGCCTCATTTTTATCCACTGAATACTGAATAGGGCTATATTAGAATTTCGCTAATCTTATACGGTGGAGTGTCACAGAGGTGCGCTCGCGTTATCCAGTATTCTAGATTACTAATCGCTACTGGTGTCGGGGTACCATAATAGCAGACCCGTCTTTGTTATATAGATTAAAGCAGTTCTCATTTTCTATTGAGACTATAGTCAATTATCCTATTGCTAAAAATGTTATTTATTGTCTCTATAGACGTATGTTCTGTTGAGGATTTGTGGCCTGTGTTACTTGACAGAGACAGTTTGACTTGGGATCGCTATTTAAGTGAAATTTTGTCGATGCAGTATACATGATATCTTTGCTACGCGCTCGAGAGGCTATTTTGAACCTACACATTTGAAAACTTTTACTGCCGTTACGCGATCAAACTGCTATATAGCAATTATGATTATATATAGTGAGACTAAAGCAGTCGTTTGAATGTGTTTAGATTGTTGGCTATGTGCGAACCGATGAATACAGTATCTCGACAGGGACTCTCGCGTCCCGTAATGCGGCGGGACAAGGAAGGCAAGGCAGCGACGTAGTCTGGCTGCGGTGAGATGGGTGTAGTCCCGCCGTTGTGATGTAGGACGTGAGGGCTGGGGTACATTCTATTTTGACTGCGCCAAAATCACTGCCGTCACGCCTGCGGACTGTAGATACGAACCAGCTCGACCGTGCCTCTCTTTTTGCGGCTGCCTCCCTGTCTTGGGTTGCTCTACGCGAGGTGAATCGCTTTTGTTCGCTTTTAGACACGGACTGTGACAGCTTCCTACTCTAGGATATATTTCCTCTACTTGAACCGGTATGTTACTTGGATGAAGTGGGAATCAAGACGTTACGCGGAGAGCGCAGGTAGTCTCTCTTCATCCATGATAACCGCGCTCATGTGAGCGGTTGCAACGGTGACCCGTGGTTCGGATCATAACTGAAGGGAATCACTGTGGGTGAGAGCTAGTTATGCACTCCAAAAGTCAGCTACTAGATGTTAGAACATGTCAAGGGCAGGTGCAGTTTTGGTAGAACAAGTGTGTGTATGTTTTAAGGTTCACAATGTCTTCATCATGTATTATCACTTCTCTCTACAAGGGCATACAGATAGACTTAAAAGGCTGGCCTCCCCCTGAGTGGGCTGGCTTCTATGATTTGCTTACTTATTACCTTTTGTGAGTTTCGAACAATGTGTTCTAGATTATATGAGTTGGTGAAGTTGGTCGAGCTGTAAAGATAGATACCAATTCACACGAGCATATATGTTTCAAGGCAGGGTGTTCGCACAGTGGAGGTAAGAAATCGCAGAAGCGGAATATTTTCTTTTGACTAGTTGAGCTGAGTGATCATATAAGGCCGAACGCGCAATATTCCCGAGAGGGATAAGGGACACTGTGGTCAAGAGATTTCGCGGACCTCTCCATGGCAGTCGCGGTCTCGCGCCGCTACATTAGCCAGATGAAGTCAGCAGCGATAAGACATGCCTTATTAGCGGGCAAAAGGAGGTCCCATTTCTCCTGTTCAGACTGGTTTTTTCTTAATCTCTGCATCACCTACCACCTCTTCCTTGATTTCTCTGAGCTGTTTTTCACCATAAACTCGATCTTTGAAGGCAGCGATTTGATGGCTTGTGGGTTTTAAGGGTTTTAGGTTGAAGGTTTTTGGTTAAAGGACGTCAAGACGGTCCAGTTCACCATGACATTCAATGATGTCATCAAATCGCACCGCCCTGCAGCCATCGTGGTCACTGTCTTTACCTAACAAGTGTCGGGTGCGTGCCGTCATGGAAAGGCGTGCTCAGGATTACGGTATCTGAGCAACTGCCATCGGTCGTACCTCACACGGAGGACAGTACTTAAGGAGAGGTCACCAGCCAACGGACAGTCGTCGGTCGTCAGTCGTCAGCCGGCACTCACTCCCCCTTCCCCCTTTCTCACCCTTCTTATCTCTTATTCTTTAATAAGTAATAAAGATGTATAGTCCAAATGTTATGTATACCGCTACACTTTCAGATTAAGGGTCGGCCTATCTATGATCTGATATGGAGGTCCCGGAAAGATAATTTTTTTCTAAATTAATTTCCAATATTTCCCGTAGATGGTACCAAGCTTACGAGGGAGTGCAACTTTTCTTCTCAGTAATCCCTCCCCCGATCTTCTTCTCAGTACCCCCTCCTCCGACCCCCATTTCACCACAGTACCGCTCTTCGTCTTGATACAGTGCACTATCAGATGAAGACCATAAGAACATCACCTAGGAAGGACGACTACTTGTATACAGGTGCATATTTTATCATTTCGTATTTTTTCCTTGATATGAAAAAACAAAAGAACAGATCACTGGATCTGAAAAAAAAGATTTTTCAAAAATATTTATTCTTCTACCTACTTAATCTTCATACATGTTTAATCCCTAAACATATTTAATCTTCAAAGATTTAAAAAAATACAAAAGAACAGATTAGCAATCTGGAAAAATCTTGAAGAGGACACTCAGAATCACTGGTTTGGAGTTCACCAAGCCTTTACATGCACAATGTTGCATTCAAGTTGAAAACAAATGGTCCTGGCGACGAGATCCACTTTTTACGGCTACCCAATATATACCCACTGAAATTGGCCAAAATCACAATTTTGATGCAGTAATTACCAGACAGCATAATTAGCCTCTCAGGAACCCTAGAAAACTGTTACAGGGAACACGATTTCCTTTCCAGTCTAGATGGTCTCCTTTGTTTCTTCCACTTCAGCTAATTCTGGAGCTGAAACTCAATTTTTTCTTAAGTTCATGGGGTTAATTCTAATCAATTGACTCGACAGCACCGAGCAAAGTCTAGCAGTCAGTCTGTTTTGAGTTTACCGCGATGATAACTTGGTTGGCTCGAGCGAAATATCTCGTCCCATCATTGAAAAACCAGTAATAATTATAATTTAGTACCTAGCAGTGATAGTAATGTACTACACGTAGTTTAAGGGAAACCACTCCTCTAATAGAAACATCTATAGAGTTGAGTTTATTAATTTAATAGGTACATTGCAGTCTAAGGGGAAACCAC